ACGCAGCACGTCCGTACCAGAATAACGCTTGTTTTTGCTGCATTTGCGTAAGTACTCGATCAGTACCTGCAAGCGCTTGAGTTTCCAGAAAGCGTGACGAACGGGCCAGGTCGAGTCGGCCGCTGAAGTAGAATAATGCCTCATGGTTCAAGCGCGGCTCGCTTGGTCTGGGGCCTCGCTGGTGGCCGCACGCTCGCCATTTTAATTCAGTATATTTCTGTAGTGTCTTACTTTTACGCGGTGCACCGGCATAGCAGTCGCTGTATGGTGCAGTTTCGTAGGACTCCAGGCGCCACCTCACATTTTCTGTAGGTCGTCGCGAAGAATCCGTAGCCCCGCTCCCAGCCCTGCATTCCCATCATGCCGGGCATTAGCCTCGCCCCTGGTCTTCGTTCAGACCTCCGGATGTTACCGCCAGGTCTGACGCCAGGGTCTGATCTCTGTCTGACCTTGGTCCCGATGTGACACTGCGCCCTGTACGCCGGGGTCTGATCTCTGTCTGATCTTGGTCCCGATGCGACACCGCGCCTTGCCACGCGCGCCCACATGTCCCGGGGAGGAGCGCCGGGATGCTGCCCGGCTGCCCGGCGGCCCCGCCCCCTCTCCTGACGCCGTCGATATTTCGAACGACCCGCTGTAATGTGCAGGTGGCCGGAATTAAAATCCCCTGGCAGGTTCGGCCCGCCCGGTCGATAGCTCAGCCAACAGCGGCTGGTACGGGCGCGACAGAGGCTGACCGAGCCGCCGGCCCCTCCGGCACACGCCATCAGAGCGACCGCCCGTGCCGACGGCGCGCGCGTCGCCCCCCCCCCCCCCCCCCCCCGATGACTTCGCGGATGCAGAGCACGCGTCCAGGCGCCACGGTTGCTCGACGGAAACGAAATGAACTGCAGCTATTATCCTGCGAGACATGTGAGCTCCACGCCTACGCCCCTCCCCCTCTCTTTAGTGGCATGAACAGGAAGGGTAACGCAACTCACTGGAAAGGATACCAGGGGTGGCCTGTTCTGGGTTAGCACCTAAACTGACCACAGGTCCTCTAAGGGCATTGCCACCTTATTTATTTACAAGTATTACCCAAGAAGATCGGTACGTGCCGTGGTTGTGGCGTGCCATACTAGCACGACGGAGCGCACGTAAATGATACTGCCATCAGAGCCGGGTGCCTACCATCCCCAGCAAAATTTAACAGCCAAACACCACTTGGTGAGCCCTGAACAGGCCATAAACTCCCGGGTCAGCGGGGGATCTTTACGGCGGAACTTTAACGTGATGCAATGTTCAGCGCTGTGCGCCCTGCCCTCTGATGTTACCTGACCGTTAGCGCGGCCGCTGCCACCGGCTGCACGCTATCCCAGTAGGGACAAATAGCAAACGCCTAAGGTGACTTGAACCCATCCCCGCCGGAGGTCTTTGAACCGGCAGGCAGGCGCTCTAGCCCGTTGCGCTATTGGGATGGGCGTACACGCAACGTGGGAAGGTGCAATTTCAACATACGGATTGCTGGCGTATCTGCAGATCGGTGGCGTACCTTGCAAGTGGCTGCATCATGACCAGGGTGTTGAGGAACGAAATAGCTCCCTTGGGTACGATGGAAATGATGTTTGGAACCGTATGTACAGCTTCACAACGCAGCACAGCGACCATGAGCAGAGCTTCGAAACGTCGAGTTTCCTCAATATCACCAATTTTTAACGTCTTATAGCCACTGTCCCCTAGTACTAAAGTACACTTCAAAGGTCGATCAGTCTCAACACGACAACTCCCACCTCATCACCCTGAGACTCCAATATTCAAGAACTTTCCTACAGCAATTAGCAACAGTGTCGAAGCGTTGGTCACGCTATTTTGCACGACGGCCACTCTGGAGAACCACTTGATCTTAAGTTTTCTACTAATATGCCCCACTCAACAAGTTTTCCACTAATAACCTATCAGTGCGCCTGTTGAGGAGTTCATGCAGGCTCAGTTTGCGCTTTTAGGATGGCACACTGTGGCAGTGTACCAAATAATTATCCATCAGCTTCCGTCTTTACGTGTCAGGGCACGCCATCTTAACTAGAAACATCTTTTTGCGCCTCGGGCCATCTTCATCTTCGAACGGCAAATGAAAACCCTTGTCTCTAAAAACTTTGCAAAAAACAATGACCATCCCCACCGCAAAGTACGTGAGACGATCCACGTGCGTTAACTGAAACCCCTGATAAACAGAACTATTTTGCCCTGGGGAATCATGTAGTCTTCGTCTGCGCATAGCTTGCGTATTTGATCTGATGCAATTTCCGGCAATTTGTTGGGTCAAAGTGTAAGCAATTTGTATCGTTTCATGAAGTGTGTTCTGAGAACAAACTCCGTATATGTTTGTTAACGCACGGCGGCATATGGTGTCTGTTTCATATTTTTACATGTTGGCACTGTTACAAGGTTCGTGACCTAAAATGCATTAAAAATATATATTACAAAACGCCTAATGCTGAACGAATATCGTGAGGTCAATTCTTTTGAATTAGTTAAATGCCAACACATTTCACGGTGAACACCGAAATAACCAGGTGCCATCGTTCCGTGGAATGTTATCCAAGGCGTCGACGTATGCCATTTAAATGTTAAATGGTTATCTGACACTAGTGGCATAACAAACCACGGGACGACCTGGTACGGCAACGGCTTCAGCATTAGAGACAAGCGATAGTGTGTTTGACAAGCCTTGGCACTATCGACATAGTGCGGGGCAGGTCAGAACACACGGAGCACGCATATCTGAGAATCAAGTAAAAACGTGAACTAATCTCTCACCGGAACAGGTCAGCTACAACGTCCATAATGAATCACCCAAAGTAGTACATGAGAAAACATTTTCCTCGGCGCATTGTAACCAGAAAATGAAGCGGGGGGGGGGGGGGGCAGCTGTCTCCTCATCGAGAAAGTACGCGAGCTTGTGGACGTCGAAACCTTAGCTCCCACGTCAGGGCCACGGTTTCTCCTCTCAACGCTCGGCACTACACGCTTATTTAACTTCATCATATATAGACGAACAGCGCTGCCAACTTGATTCTGGGGAATTTCATTCCAGGCTGCTAATGGTGGCCCAGCGTTAAATAATGTCTGCTGATGGAGCCGCTGGGACGGCCCCGGGGTCAGGGTTCGTCCAACTTATTAGCGTGTACCAGCCGGCCTCCTATGGTTCAGCCGGAATCCTATGGTTCAGTCGGCCTCCTATGGTTCAGCCGGCATACTACGGCCAATGCTTCGACCGCAATCACTGCAGATCATATGAAGTCAAAAATAGCGTGATAAGGTGATGAAATATTTTTCGTCCGCTTATCATAACGGATAAACATGGGAAAAATCCTTTCAAGGAAATCAAACAAGGGGAAATATCGAAATCTTTGATTTATTGTTTTGCCTTTTAGGCCTTTCAATAGCTTGCCCACAGACGGTCCCAGTCATCGGTCTGAAATTCTGCCGCTTGCTGAGTTTATGAAGTAGGTAGCTGCACGTCGCTACAAGTATCTGAGTCAGCGCTACGATGCTTGTGGGACGTCACCGACGGTACAAACGTGTGGGCACCGCGCTGTCGGAACCAGCAACGACGGGATGCCCAAAGCTACAGTGTCATTCAGTATTCAGCATTCTAGTAAGCCGTTCACAATGATAGGCTGCAGCGCCGTGAGTCAGCTGACGGCGGCGTACACGCGCGCACGGATCGCCCGCCTGTGTCGGCCCGGCGTGGGTCTCATCACGCGACAGAGCGTCTCAGGCCCGGACTCCCAGCCTGCCTGCCAGGCCCCGCATCACCGCCAAAACATCGCTGCGGAGAGAGCAGAGCAAACCCCGGTAACAGTGCTTAACCGCGTGGTCTCCGCCTAAGTCAGGAACTAGCCAAGTAGTGCTCACGCGCCGCCGATACACGTTTTTGGCTTGCGGCTGAGCTCGGGCTGTTCACGCCGTGAATTAAAGGGAGCGTTCCACATTTGCATTGTGTTTGAAACTGCAATAGACATCTTAAAAAATATTTCGGTTCACTTCACAGCCCTGCCTTTCTTAAGCCATAAAAGTCTCTAGTTTCTGAGCTACACACGTGCGAAGATGTGCAACTTTTGCACGCAGACTATTTCACGGCCACCCAGGCATCCATGACGCCATGATAACGCAATTAAAATTCTGCCATCCCATTAGCCATGCAGCGATCAAGGTAAAAAATGTCGTTGTCGAGTCGTCCATATCTGGCGCTCGTGAGCACGATTTCCAGATATATCGGCCGTCCAGATGTATTGGCTCTGAATTAATGTTGTGCAAGATGCGATGATGTAATAAAAAATGATGCGTTGAGGAGCGTATTCACTGGACAGAGAAATCGTGTTATCTAGGGTAGCCTTGGCAGCTTAGAAGTATACCAAGAGTTATAATTGAGCTTATTTCATCTCCAACCGTGGGACATTCCCTTTAATCCCCGTCAGCTGCGGCCGTTTCGAACGTTCCGCAGTGGTGGGTCACAACCCCCCCTCCCCCACACACCCCCGCACACATACTGACGGTCACACACACTATGTGCTAAAGCACGAGCAAAAACAAAGAGAAGAACGGTTGAAGTATGCGCGGTCTGCAACTTTTCCTGAAATCCGGTTTTATATTTATTAAAGGTTGGATATTTTTAGCTGGTGGAGCGTTGGGATGGTACAAAAGCTGGTTCTGCAGACAATCGAATATCTACGTTCTCGCAATGGCAGTAAGGCCTAACTTCCACTTAACTATGCTTTAACCTTTCCAGTGCTCACCTTACATGATCATCACGCTACAACGTGACAACCAAAGCGCAGTCGTCTCAGTTGGTTTACGTACCACAGTGATAGTGATACATTGTGCAAATTCTACATTCTACATTATCTTGGACAACTTTCACGAGTTATTCTGGCGTAAATCTGACCTCGAATGATCATGGTCTCACCATTAACACATCAAGCTACTTTTGTACATAATCCACGATATCATGGACTCACCTGGTGTTGACTCTTAAGACTTGGTCTGACGTTACTCGGACACCAGATTCATTTCGTAAGACCCTAACAATCACTACGATCTGCATACGGGCCGGTTAAGTATCTCCGGAAAGAGCCCTGAGCTGCTGCGCCATCTCCGCCTATTCTGACAAGAGTAACTGACAATTTGTGAACATCAACAGGCTACGCCGCGCACGCTTGGGACGTGGCGCCCAGTGGATTTCCATCGAAAACGTAAACAGGGGTCCGCTCCGACCGCCGGAACGCACTCAACGGCCTTGATCAGGACGTTCCAATTCCCTCGGCATCTTGGGCCTTTGTTTTGTCCTAACGGCGAGACAACAAAGGCCTGCGGGACTCGTTTGTGGCGGGAAGCTAAACCAAGCACCACTACACACATCGGCTGCCGCGAGCCAACGCCCAGCAAACACACACGAGAGCCGCAACACAACCTAATAGGCAACGGCAACGACAGCCACAAACAACGTCACACGGCGCCAGACGAAGGACAGGCGGCGGGCGGACGGCCATAGCGGCGCGGACAGCGAAGGAGGACGCACCGCCTGATATTGGGTACGTCGTGTTCATGTGGTTCTTAGAGACTCTGACCAAGGCCTTACGACGTTCACGAACATTTTACATGCGGGTGTGCTAGCTGCAGCTGTTTTATTATGATGTAAATAATCACAAGGAAATACGCACTTGTTCATGATGATAAAATTAATACATACTTTTCCACATAAGAGAAGGTGCGGCCAAACAATGCGCTGCTGTAAGATTTAGCCAAAGCACATGGTTTGCGTTTCGTCTAGGTCGACAGCTCTTCTGGGGTCGCCGTACCAGGATCAACGTAAGGGGATCATACCAGAGTCATACGCCTCTGTGAAAAGGGCTATGCTGCCCAAGGTTGCGAAGACATGCAGTCTCAAATATGAAATGATCGAAACAGTATTTGAACAATTGAACACATCTACAGGATTTCGATTCCGCATTTCCGCATTCCGCATTCTGCCGATCAATTGCGGAACAAACCACCGACGTCGACCGTGACGCCCGCATTGTGGTGTCTCAAATTTGGTGAAACTTTATCCTAGTGAGTAAAGCGAGGCACAGCCAAGTGAACATGTTTCGTGTTGGATCAATCGCAGCCTGCAGCCTGCGTGACGCGAACCCAGCCTGGACACGCTGCGTGTCTCTGTGTGAGGCATTGCTCATCGGGGTCACAGTGTGCTGCCACTGAATATCAGACCCACCAAGCGTATCACCGGTCTCGTGAAGACACTGCCGGTGACGAAGCAGCGTTCGCATTTTCATGGCAGCACTAAGCCAGATCCAGACGTCAGGCGTGTTTATTTTGATACATGCCGAACATAAAGTGCTGATCATTCTCTGCATTTTGCTCCGCCAGGTTAAGGTAAAAAAGGACTGAGCCGAGTTTGCTTTACTTTTATCTGGCGTAGGTAGCGACCCTAGCAGTGCTCACTGGTAACATGTGCTATCCTGTCACAGGATGTTCGGCACTGGGAAAACTGCATCCGCATGGTTGCATTTAGAGACTTCATCCATGAATATCCACTCATGTGACTCACCTACACTATTAAAGTCTTTGCGTCGCTGAAAACTACCAAGGGACTAAATCCGCTGAAAATAAGGGGATGGATGCTCTATCTTGCCACCATCAGAGCGCGGTTCGCGAAATGGTTTTACTTCACCCCAACCCACCTTTGAGCACAGCGGCTGCAGAGGCAGGGCAGGCAGCCTTCCCATTCGTATCCATTTGTGGCCGCGTCAGCGCGGGCGGCGCACACTCGCCATTCCGCATCACTGGAGGCGCTGGCCGGCCGCTGGAGATTCGGTGGCGGCCGAGCGCGGCCGGCCGCACCCTTCGCGCGGAGCCGTCGGGTCGACGAGGAAGGAGGAAAGGAGGGAAGGAGGGAAGGAGGGCGGGGAGGGGGACCTGTGTTGGGCTGCTGAGCGGAGCTGTGCGAGTCTGTGGGCTGGCTGCCGATGGATGCGCTCTCACTCAGGTGGGGATGGATGGCGACGCGGACAGGCGGAGCTGCAGCGTGCGTGAGATCTGTCTATTGTCTACAGCCAGGTGGCGGGCGACGCAAGAGAGCCGGCTCTGTGCTGGCCTCTCAAGCAAGTCTTCCGGACGAAGTTAAGGCTCGGTTCTATGGTATTTGCCGTGAGGCCAATAATTAAAACAGAACACAAAACATTAAAGCAGCGCACGAGAAACGTAACACACCAAAGCACTGGGCCATCTAACAAAGAGCTCATGATGCCTAAGCGCGTTTAAAAGAAAAGCGGCAACCGCGGAACCAAACGCGGAACATTTCGAAAAACAAAACTTACTTAAAACACCGGTCCGGATCCCTTTTCTCGTCCTGTACGAACGAGTTGGCTTTTTTTCGATATTTTCCGGGTGCACAAATTCCTCGATTATTAAGCTTTTTGCTCCAACGCCGACCAAACTAAAAAGGTCGAAGCATCGACCCACGTCAAAAATTCACAATCCTTTGGGTGACTTAATTGGATTTCGTATATATTGGTGTGGATAGTGAACCAGACCTCGGAGCCGATGGCCGATACAATGTTACACGCCATTGTCAATACACGCGGAAACAATGTTTTTGACTGCGTAAAGGTCACTTCATGCAGCTGTGCGATGCATGATTACAAATGCAAATAGCTTCCGTATTTTCCTGTATGAGCAAACAAAAGATTCGGCAGCACTTGGCATTTTAACTGATTCAAAAGTGACGCAACTGTTTCATTCCCTTGGATGAATGAATAGGTGCCACAGGCAGTGAGCAGCCGCATGCGTATGCTATAATGTTAACGCAGACGGTAACCCAGCAGAAGATAATGGTCGCAGTTGAGGCTGCTCCATCAGGTGGTGTGTCCGAAGATGGATATGCACCTAAAGCACCATATATGAGGAGAAATCGTCGTTCTAGTTACTGAAAAGGCGTAGTAGATGAGCGTCGCCTTGCGATTGTTAACGGAGTGACGCTGAAACTGTCTCTGAAACCGTGACATCTGTAGATATGTTACACATAACTGAGAGTCGGAACATGCTAGATGATATGCCTATGCCATTGGTATTAAAACCAGAAGCAGTTTGTGCACTGTGCAGTGTGGTTGTACTTGTGAATAACTGGGAAAAATAATTATGACGTGATAAATGATATGATGAGCCTTGTCTGTTCTGATCTTCATGCAAAATTGCATTTCTAAAAGGCAACAAGTATCGGCTGGTTTATGGCGACAGCACATTTTTCTCTGGTGGAAATCAACAAATTCCTTAAATCTAGAATGCCAGATGAACCAAATTTATTCTTAACACTTTAAAATGTCCTTAGTGTGGAAGAGGATTGGCATGGCCTAATTCGATAAATTCGTCTGGTAAGGCGGACCGGACCGGACTGGATTGAGAAATCTGGAAAAAAACGGATTGGTGGGCGGATTGGATCTGGGCAAACCGGAACCGCTTTGACTTTTGGACCGGACCGGTTCCCGAAAATGTAATCCGTTAAGTGCTCTTCTGCCAACCCGAGCCAGATAGACGCAAAGCTCCATAGCTGCCCATCTTCCTTGCGTGCTCCCTTCACGAGACGCGTGACCTCTCTCCCCGCCCTCTTCCTCCGCCTTCACTGCCGCAGGGGAGGCGTCTCTTCTCAATCAGCGACAAGGGGAACACTCGAGAGCGCCTAAACCGAATCGGCTGATGTAAGAGCTGGTCGAGCGAATTCGGCGCCTGCGGCACCAGACAGCCGTGTCGGCACGGAGGACGCGAGCAGCGGGCGGCAGCCTGCGTTGTCAACCGGCGCTGTTGGCCGTGCCAGATAGCCAGAAGCATACCATTCATCTGGGCGCATGCGACACATGCAAGAAACGAGCAGCCTCGCTGTACATGAAAACCGTATTACGTTTACTACCGCGATACTGTTGAACGTTTATACAATGCATTTGGTATCGATATGGACAGGCTCACGTCGTGGACGTGAACCTCACACGCTTCACACGCGAGCTACACGACACCACACACGCGAGCGTGAAAGGCTTGATGGTATGCATGGACCAAAGCACACCGAAAAGTATGCTCTTGAGCGCCCTGGGTAGGAGGGTGAGATGTGCTTGCCGTTCCAAATCAGCATGCGCTCTTGCTTTTGAAAGTTCTGAACAAAGTGACGCCACCCAATTTCCAAATGAGCCTTTATTTTCGAGCGATATTTATTCAGCTTCCAACTTGTCACGGTCTGTTCAGTATCAAACTCAGAGACGAGCTGGAAAGCGGACTGGTGTGAGTCTGGCACGCGACAGCCGAATACTGCGGTCGGATGTTGTCTGGCACGCGACAGCCGAACACTGCGGTCGCATGTTGCGGCTGGTGGCAATATTGATGAACTGTTCCCAGCTTTCTGCAATACACGATACAGGCGTATCAGTAGTTTTACTTGCCAGTTTTAAACTTGGCAGTGCGTTTAAAACATGGCAACGCCTTTTCTCGTAATGAACTCTCAGTTCGTAAATAGATGCGCAGTGCCTTGCTATGGCTTCGACCAATCTCCGTATGGCACCATCAATCAACGACAAAACCAATCTACTGCGTTATTAAAGCTAAGTCGTGCCTAGTCAGGGGAGGACTTCGACGGCTCAAAAATGTCGATGTAGTTCTAGCCTGCGTATACTGGCATTGAATTAATTTAACCATGCATATGAATAAAGAGTAGTCAACAAGAACCATAATCTTATTGAACAACGATGATTCAAGTGATAAAACTGAGCGTGCTAATATATAATGGTGGGGCTGTTAATAATGATAATTTAGTGGTTGAATACGATTAGCTATTTGTTAAACAAACGTGCACAGGTTTGAACTTTAATCCCCAGCACTTTTCTAGAACAGAGAAGCTTACGCTTGGGCGGAACATTTCCAAGAAAACATGAAAAATTACTGAAAACACCGGTCCGGATCCCCTCTCCCGGCCTGTACGGACGAGTTTGCTCATTTCGATATTTTCCGGATGCACAAATTCATCGATTATTAAGTTTTTTCCTCCAACGCCAAC